TGAGTAATGTAACATAGTTACTGTCTTAGTATATATATATATTACACTAATGCTGCTGTACGGGCCTAAGGCGGGATGTACGGTACAGCAGCTGTTCATTGTTAAGTATATTGAACAGTTAAATTTACCACATTAACTTTTTGAAGACTAAATGATATTTACTGCTGCTATTTATTTTAAAAAAAGAATGATTGTTTTCCATAAAAAAAAGATAAAGACATATTGGTAGCTATAGTACTGGGTATACATACATAACAAAAAAGACATATTGGTAACTATAGTACTGGGTATACATAAAAAAAGACACATTGGTAACTATAGTACTGGGTATACATAAAAAAGACATATTGGTAACTATAGTACTGGGTATACATAAAAAAAGACATATTGGTAGCTATAGTACTGGGTATACATACATAAAAAAAAGACATTGGTAACTATAATACTGGGTATACATAAAAAAAGACATATTGGTAGCTATAGTACTGGGTATACATACATAAACAAAAAATAAAGACATATTGGTAGCTGTAGTACTGGGTATACATAAAGTCATATTGGTAACTATAGTACTGGGTATACAAACATAAACAAAAAATAAAGACATATTGGTAACTAGTACTGGGTATACATACATAAAAAAGACATATTGGTAACTATAGTACTGGGTATACATACATAAAATAAAGACATATTGGTAACTATAGTACTGGGTATACATACATAAAGAAAAATAAAGACATATTGGTAACTAGTACTGGGTATACATACATAAAAACAGACATATTGGTAACTATAGTACTGGGTATACATACATAAAATAAAGACATATTGGTAACTATAGTACTGGGTATACATACATAAAAAAAAGATAAAGACATATTGGTAACTATAATATTGGGTATACATACATAAAACAAAGACGCTTAACTACATATACTTTGATTACCATCCAAGTGGGGTCAAAAATCCCTTACACATTAAGTAAAAGCAAGGTTGAAGAAACTAAAGCTAGAAATTCTTTCAAGTTAGCTAGTGTACACTCAGTGAAAAGTTATTGAATTTCAAGTAAAGCTATTCAAGGGTTATCAGTCGTCCTTAAAGTTGAAGTGATGGACAAGAGGCAAGGCAACTAATGAACACCATCCATCACTAACTATTGTCAGAACAAACAGTGGGATCTGACTGTCATTCTTATAATGCACTTATGGCCCCAAAATGTGAATCATGATTTCTTTTTCTCATAATGTGACTCAAACCATGGAATTTCAGATCCACAGACCAACATGCTAACTACTGGATCATGTTCAGCTTTCAGAAAAGAACACTTTTCCCAGAACTTTCTCATTATCATGTTGATGATTTATATTTCTTGAGGAATAGTGTAGAATAATTTTAAGTTGAGCTAAAGATTTGAGAAAATGGTGAATGCTACAAAATCAAGTTCAGGTTTCCTACATTCTATTTTTACACTTCGTATTATCCTTCTATTCACTCTTTTATACCTGACCAAACTTATTGTATGATACATTTTAATTACGTAACTCAAAATATACTGCTTTTCTTACATTTACAGCATATTGGTTACAGTAGTTTAGTGTATGTGCTAATGGTGAATAAGTAAACAGTACACAAATTATTCAAGTCAAAATACATAAACAGAACAGTCACAAACAAATGTCATAAAAGCAAGTTTGAGTTTTACTTAATAAAGCCCTGCAGTGTTTTCTACACTCATTTCTTTGAATGTGAAGCAATCAAAACATCTAGAGATTATTGTTTCATAACATATCTCATCATAAGTTAGTATTCACAACAATAATGATGTGATCACTATATTATGTAACATTACTGTGACTAGTTTTGTTAACAATTATCATAACTGGTTATACTTGCAACTGCTATGATTGTTAATGTTTAGTTACTGTGACTGGTTGTGTTTACAATTATCATAACTGGTTATACTCCCAACTACTATGATTGTTAATATTTACAGTAACTGTGACTGGTTGTGTTTAAAGTTACTGTGACTAGTTTTGTTTACAATTACCATAACTGGTTATACTTATCACTACTGTGACTGGTTGTGTTTACAATTATTTTCACCAGTTATGCTTACAAATACTTCAACATAACTGTTAAAAGTCATAATTTTCAGAGAGTTAACACCGATTGTGTGGTCATTGTGTTGAGTAAATCAATTGTTATTTTAAAATGAATCTTTTATGTATGTATATATTCTCCACATAGCTTTTCTTGTATGATTATGATGATTTTGTTGCATTAAAGGTTTCAAATTGTGTCTTATCTCTATGCAGTAGTTTTAAATAATATTCACTACATTATGAGTCTCATAGCTATGCATATCATAAAAAGAAAAATTATTCTACTTAGAGGTGTTATCAGGAAGATAAACTTTGTATGTCAATAAACAGTTATTTACTTCACTGGGAAAACAGATAATGTGACATAGTTACATTATCTGTTTTCCCAGTGAAGTAATGTGATAATGTGACATAGTTACTGTCTTATATATATATATATACACTAATGGTACCAAAAAACAACAACAAAATACTCAAATTTTTCTCAATTATAAAATGCTAATTCCACAGAAACAAGAAACACATAGTTATATCAAAATGAGATTTTTCCTTTACAGTTAACATCATTAAGTATTATAATAACACAACTGTAACATACTTTTACAAATTAAAAGTACAAGTTAACACCTCACTGATCAAACAGTACCTGGAGACCGGGCCAAAAAGCTAGGAGAGCATCCATGAAGTTTCGAGAGTTAGTATGGGGCCGATGCATGTGAACGTCCACTAGAAGCGGTCCTTGACTAATGTACTTCATAACTGCTGAATAGTGCTGTAAAAAAATACATTAATGCAGCTGTATTTTGACTATATAAAGTAAAAAAAAAATTACTAACATAATTCTAACAGACAAGTTTTTCAGATGTGTAGTCTTCAGAAATAAGTAAAACGTTTAAGTGTTTTCAATCTTAAGGAATGAAGCCTAGTTTGCAACTTTTTTTAAACTACAATATTTACTATTTTGATTCCTTTTCCCAGTTACAAGACAATGATCAAGAACCAAAAAAAATTATAGGAAAATTTTCCACACAAGTAACCTTTGAGGGCTAAATTACCATACAGAATAACCCCATCTTGATAAAAAATTTCAAATTCATCTCATCTGGATCATCTAATATGGAACTTAAATAAAGAAAGCTTATCTATTATAAATGAACTCCCAACTTCAAATAACAACACAGGTTTGCTACAATTAACCCTTTAAGTGCCAAGCTCGCCATACAGTGAGATGAGAAACCCCTTCAAATCACGTGCCACAATACTCATCAGAGAGTTCGTAGCTACCTCAAACCATCACCAATAGATGGCATATGAGTTAGGCACACATTATGTGGTCATTTCATGGTATCTATCTATTCAATGTGTTGGAGCAATTCAAGCATGAAAGTTCATTGAATTTTTGTGTCAAATGGTGGACTTGAAGACAGAATGTGCAGTAGGAAGTTCCCTGTTGATGAAGCCCTTAGGCAAATCATGGCAGATGATGATTCAGGTAGTGAATTTGAAGTTTCTGATGATGACTGGGCATCAGAATCCAATCACAGTGACATTCATGACAGTAATACCCCTCCCAGACCAAAAAGGGGGCATGGTACTGCAGCTAGTGTCCATGAGTGTTTCAGACCTAGCAGAAGAGGCTGTGGCCAGCCAGAACAGAATCCAAGGCCTAGGCATAGACCTAGGAATGACAATAACAATAACGCAGTGGATGATAATGGGTTTTTGCCTGGTTACCACTTCACGACCCTGAGAACTATGTGAAATGGATTACCAATTTCTATCAGGAAACTGGTTACACTGTTGAGAGTAATATGAATGAAGCAGCACCTGCTGACGACATGGAATTATTTTGGAATGAAGATTTTTGACAGCAGGAACAAATAGGCATGCTGATCAATTTTTAGAATGTAGTGAGCTTGGTCTTCATTCTAGATTCAAGTGGTGGCAGCCAGTCACAAGGACAGAAATGAATTATTATTTGAGACATAAAGCAAATGGTTTTGGTTATAAAAGATATTTGAAGCTGAAGTATTAGAAGGCTTACTATTACTTAATGATGCAGTAACACAGTGATTTAACTGATGATCCAAAGTAATCTTTCATGTTCGTTGCATTGCCATCTTTAGTATGTTAAAATCACAATGCTTTTGCCCTCACATGCAAGTTTTTATCACTGACTCATTTTACTGATATTGAAGTTTTTCATATAATACCAACATTATGCATTATACTGACTGCTTTTGTCTTCCCGCAGCAAGTCACAGCATCACCGTAAGTCTTGGTTTCAAGCCTCCGTAAATTAACTGGCTTTCAGTTAAGCATTAATAAATAAATATATAGTAGTAGTAAACAAATTATTAATCCAAGCATCCAAGACAACTTCATTCACTAAAAATGTCTTTTTTAATAAGACATTTTTAGGGAATGAGTGGAGTATTTGATAATAAGACATTTTTAGTGAATGAGTGAAGTATTTGGTAATAAGACATTTTTAGTGAATGAGTGGAGTATTTGGTAATAAGACATTTTTAGTGAATGAGTGAAGTATTTGGTAATAAGATATTTTTAGTGAATGAGTGAAGTATTTGGTAATAAGACATTTTTAGTGAATGAGTGGAGTATTTGGTGACATTTTTAGTGAATGAGTGAAGTATTTGGTGATAAGACATTTTTAGTGAATGAGTGGAGTATTTGATAATAAGACATTTTTAGTGAATGAGTGGAGTATTTGAATTTGATAATAAGACATTTTTAGTGAATGAGTGAAGTATTTGATAAACTTCACTCATTCACTAAAATGTCTTATTACCAAATACTTCACTCATTCACTAAAACTGTCTTATTACCAAATATTCCACTCATTCACTAAAAATGTCTTATAACCAAATACTCCTCTCACTCACTAAAAACGTCATATTTCCAAATACTCCACTCACTCACTGAAAATGTCTTATTACCAAATACTTCACTCATTCACTAAATATGTCTTATAACCAAGTACTCCACTCATTCACTAAAAATGTCTTATAACCAAGTACTCCACTCACTAAAAATGTCTTATAACCAAATACTCCACTCATTCACTAAAAATGTCATATTTCCAAATACTCCACTCACTCACTAAAAATGTCTTATAACCAAATACACCACTCACTCACTAAAAATGTCTTATAACCAAATACTCCACTCATTCACTAAAAATGTCTTATTACCAAATACTCCACGTAAAGAAAACTGCAGAAGTCATATTTTTCTCACCTTGTTGAAGCGTTCTAAATATGTATCATCTCCTAGGAGAATGTAGGCCTTCAGACAATACTCATAATAAGAGTCTATTCCAGCTCCCACACCACTTTCTGGTAAAATAAAAAGTACCTTTTATTGATAACATTCTAACTTTAGAGCATTAAAAAAACAACCAACATACAAGTCACAAACAAAATGTGTTCTAATAGTAGTTATTATATGCAGTACAAGATATCTGATATTTATACACTAAATAAAAATGTTATGAAATTTATGAAAAAACGAAAATTCTTTTTCACAGTTTGACAGACAAATTTTTGGATATTAGCAGTTAATTTTTTTTTTATATAGTAACATATTCCTTTTCTTGTCAGGAATATCAATTAATTGTATGTTTTGGCTATCCTAAACCTTAGTTACACTTTTAACACTTCTTTTTTGGCAAATTTAAAATACGTCATTTTCATGACATGTGAGTCACTATATTAGCAGTAATGTTACCTTACAACAATATACACTGGAAAACTTGACATCTTGTAACTGACATTTTGTATATTGTAATCTAAGACGACATGTTATGGTACTTGGTAAAAAGGCTCATCACTACTAGTGTGCAAGAAAGTTCTGTGTAATCATTAATGTGACATAATATCACATCCACCACTGACAGTGAAACCTAATTGTTAATACAAGTAAACATTTTACAGTTTCTCATCAATGACTATGTATTACAGTCTGTTATATGGCTGTGAAACTTGGACCTTGACACAAGCATTGATTAACAAACTGGAAGCATTTGAGATGTGGATGTACAGAAAGATCATCCTGGATAGACAAGGTAACAAATAAAGAAAATACAGTATGGTGAATGTGTAAAGATTCAGCAAGTCCTACCAGAGGGTCAAATAGAAGGGAAAAGATATGTTGTACCAACCATCAAGAAAAGTAGCATATGATGAGACGAGACAACATCCAGCGAGTCCTACTAGAGGGTCAAATAGAAGGGAAAAGATATGTTGTACCAACCATCAAGAAAAGTAGCATATGATGAGATGAGACAATATCCAGTGAGTCCTACTAGAGGGTTAAATAGAAGGGAAAAGATATGTTGTACCAACCATCAAGAAAAGTAGCATATGATGAGATGAGACAATATCCAGTGAGTCCTACTAGAGGGTTAAATAGAAGGGAAAAGATATGTTGTACCAACCATCAAGAAAAGTAGCATATGATGAGACAAGACAATATCCAGCGAGTCCTACTAGAGGGTCAAATAGAAGAGAAAAGATATGTTGTACCAACCATCAAGAAAAGTAGCATATGATGAGAGGAGACAACATCTTGTTAGTCATACTAGAGGGTCAAATAGAAGGGAAAAGATATATTGTACCAACCATCAAGAAAAGTAGCATATGATGAGAGGAGACAACATCTTGTGAGTCCTACTAGAAGGTCAAATAGAAGGGAAAAGATATATTGTACCAACCATCAAGAAAAGTAGCATATGATGAGAGGAGACAACATCTTGTGAGTCCTACTAGAAGGTCAAATAGAAGGGAAAAGATATATTGTACCAACCATCAATATTTCTCACTTTACGAAATAAATATTCTTTTATGGCTTTCAATAAGTTCTGTCACAGTTTATTTGATACTTTTAAAATGATAATCATTCTTAGATGCCTGTATGAGCATCCATTACACCAATTAGCAACATACAATATATTCAATTAATCAAAATTGTGATTAAATCAATTATGCCATGAAATAATTAATCAAAATTAGCATTTCTGTTTATTCCAACCATCCAAGTAATCAAAATACTGCCATTGTGATTTCTAATTATTATTTTGATTACTTCAAGATTGTTTGACTTAATCAGTTAGTGTCACAATTCATGAAAATAATTCATGTTCCTGATTTTTATTGTTTTTAATCATTACAACTTTCTAAATCTCATATGAGAATAATCAATTAGTTGAATGCAACTTATTAATGAGTCTGATCATTAATCAAATATCAAACTCCACTAATCAGCTAGCTCTAATTATACTTAGGCAAGAGATATATATAATTAATATGTATAAATAGCAGGTGTAGCAAATAAAATTTTGAAACATCAAAAAGATTGAAATGGAAAATTGTTAAAGAACAAGATATAGCTGTAAAACAAAAAAAAACAAAGGATTTCTCGTCATACTTCTTGTTATAACATACCTCTCTGAACCCAGTCTCCACTATGGATATTAAGTACTGTACCCATTAAGTCACTGGTCTGATGCCGCTGGTGCCACAGATAGTCCATGGCTGCTCTTGCTTTGTCCTACAAAGTTTTCAATAATATTTACTAATGTAATATGAAGACTGCTGAAAGGTAATAATTCATGACAATGTTTTAAAGTCTATCCCTTACGTATGTTTAGCTCAATGTATCATACCTCTAATACACCATTAGGATAACACTGAAAATACAGGAAATCAAAATATTTAAACACTATATATATATATATATATACATACAAACATATACAACATATGAATTCCACAGTATTTTACATCTAGAAATATTACTTGTAAACCAATGGTAAGAATATAGTAACTCTGTTTGTTCCTTACCTGTAAATTAATGGTAAGAAGATAGTAAATTTGCTGATTTCTCACTTACACAGAATAACTTTCATAAATCAGCAAAGTACGAGTTTTTACTAGAAATTAATGAGTAGTTCATTACAGCTTCACTAATTATCAGAGAAAGTGCTTTGCATATCTTTTAGTTAGAATGTAATTATTATTCATTGGTAGATAGTTTAGACAGAATATTCATATTTGAGTAGACTATGAAGGGGGTAGCAACTGCCTATTAGAGGAACACTTGTAGAAATATATTAGTGACTATACAATCTACTTATGCAGCTCAAGTGCAGATGACGACATTTTAAAAGTCTTCTGCCTTTCATCTTCAGGTCTTCAAGTAATTGTTTTTTAGAGATTATTATTCTGCTATCACATAACATGAGAAAAAAACATCCCAAACTTATCATCGTTATGCATCTTACAAGTCAATCATTAAGAAAATGATGAAGAAATAGAGAACTGATAAAAGAAAACTAAGTATCAAAAACTACTTAACGTTTCACCAGATGATGTTTGTAATTTTAAAAAGTACCATTTGTTCGTAAGATCTTTGGAACTCATCTGAATTGTTTTTCAAACATACTGACAAAACTAAATGTAAATAATCATACTGTTCTAGAAAAAATACATCTCTTAATTAACTTACATTTACATCTTATGATTGGCAAAAGTTAATACCGTATTTGCCCAAACATAATGCACAGTCAATTTTGAAAGGTTAAATTGAAAAAACTTTGTTTTTTACCCATCAGTTGTAGAAAATGTATTGAATAGTTACTAAGTACAGTAAATGACTATCAATGTACTAAACATTTTTGGAAATCTTTCACTGAAATTTTTTGTGTTTGTCAATTTTACAATATTTATTGAAAAGTTTACACACGGTAATACACTAGGCTAATTATTCGTCTTCATATAAATCTTCGCCATTGCTAGAATTGTCACTGCCATTGGATTCATAACATTCATCAGGTTTACATCCTTGAACCTTTGCTTCATCCTCTTCTGACTCCCACAACATTTCATCATTCTTCTCATCCATTACATTAGATGTGTAATACTTTTGAAACCTTTAATGATTTTTGGTGGTAACTTCTAGTAAAATACCCAACAAAATTGAAAATGCACAAATATAATCTGCAGTCAAGTAATTGGGAGGTATTTGAAGGAAAAAAATGAATACATTATATCCAGATAAATACAGAATTCTTTTTCAAGGTTCATGAAAAACTCTGAGCAAAATGATAGCTACCTAGAATTGTACTTGTATGAGTGAATTATAATGTAATTTAAATTAAGACTTATTTTGGCAAATTCTACTTATGCAACTTTTCCGCTAACAAGTCTGTATTTAATTTTCTAAATTTCTAAACAACATTCACAGTAAAACAGTATCTAATGTACATTAGAAGGAAATCTTATTTTTTTGTCAAGAAAATATGGTGTTTTATTGTTGTTGTTTTTTTAATTGCAATCCATTCTTTATTTTTTTTTATAATTATATTATCTATCTTATTTTAGTTGAATGACAATGAAAATTTAGTATATTTTTTGGTTTAACTTTTCCAGCAATCAACGATTTAATGATGGAAAAAAATCACTTATTCTTCATTTTTGTTTTCTAGCTTATTTTTATGATTATATTATACTGTAATTACTTCTTCATGTCCTTTCTACTTGTTATACAGTATAAATTGAACAGATTTACAAAATTAGTTCCAACAAAATTAAACATAAAGTAATGACTAAAACAGTAATTATAAATTTTTATTTTTGTATCCAACTTGAAGGAAGAGTAAGGTTTCATAAGTGAAATTTTCTTCTTATCACAGAGGATAAAACAAAAGTTTCTAAATCAGTAACAAAGATATCCTAATCTCACCTCAAATATAGGTTCTCCAGTAAGACGGCTGAGAGCAGCAAACTCCAAGATCATAGTACCAGCACATGCAGTGCATGTCTCTCGTAACACCCCAAGCTTTGGTGATTTCAGTCCATACTTTAAGTTAATCTGAAATACAATGATCTTTAATCACATTTCTGAAATTACTAACAAGTCAGTTTTATAAGTTCAAGCACATACTACTTTTATATTTAAACATTTGTGTATTAGAACAAAAGGCAACAGAACAGCATTAATGAAACATATCTATATAAACTCTAACCGAGAAAATTCGCATACACGAGTTTTTGTGATAATTATATGCACATACAGGATGGTCAACTAACATAAAATTGTGGATTTACACATTCCCTGAACATGCCAAATAAAGTATGCAAGGTGATCATATTTTTCACATAATGACAGCATTCCATTTATTACAAGATACTAAATGTTAGCTGGTTTTCTAGCATAAATTCTGCCCTTAATTAATTTCATTGAGAAAATTTCAAATGTGAAACAGAAAATAACATTACTTTTCTAACAGGACAGAAATATACATCATCCTGTAATTGATAAGCACTAGTTATTGACTATATGTGCGCTTGTTAGAGTAAAAGTGTGCAAGCCATTAACATTAAAGAAATATACATCATCCTGTAATTGATAAGCACTAGTTATTAATTATATGTGCACTAGTGAGAGTAAAAGTGTGCAAGCCATTAACATTACAGAAATATACATCATCCTGTAATTGATAAGCACTAGTTATTAATTATATGTGGGCTTGCACACTTTTACTCTCACTAGCGATATTTCTGTTCTGTTAATATACATCATCCTGTAATTGATAAACACTAGTTATTAACTATATGTGCACTAGTGAGAGTAAAAGTGTGCAAGCCATTAACAGAACAGAAATATACATCATCCTGTAATTGATAAACACTAGTTATTAACTATATGTGCACTAGTGAGAGTAAAAGTGTGCAAGCCATTAACATTACAGAAATATACATCATACTGTAATTGATAAACACTAGTTATTAACTATATGTGCACTAGTGAGAGTAAAAGTGTGCAAGCCATTAACAGAACAGAAATATACATCATCCTGTAATTGATAAACACTAGTTATTAACTATATGTGCGCTAGTGAGAGAAAATATGTGCAAGCCATTAACATTACAGAAATATACATCATCCTGTAATTGATAAACACTAGTTATTAACTATATGTGTACAAGTCATGACCTTTTACAGAGTTCCATTCAACATGATATCATGTATCTGATATCACTTTATCGTACATTGCTCACTTAGTGACAGTTCATAGTAGAGCAAAGTAAATACCAGGTATAATATATATATAGGGATACTGAAAAAGATCTGTAGTTATACATTTCAGAGGTTATGCAAATGCACTATGCAAACTTTACAAAAAAATTTTTATTCTTCACACGAACATCACCTGACACTCTGAGTTCTTAGAGTCCGAGTCAGACTGACATTGTCAGTTTAGAAACAAATCTTGAGTACAAATACTCTTGTAACTCGTGTGATATTTTGTGTATACCAGATTTGTACATTTTACTAAACACTTGCCATACTTCGTGTAGATACCAGCAGTAAATTCAGAACAATAGTCAGTATTCCTCCTCCAATACAGAATCGGTCCAATGGACCGAACCCAGTTAATAACTTCTCAATTCAGATAAGTTGAGAACTAAGTTTAAAATTAAAGATCATCAGAAGATATATAACATTTAATTCTAAGATAGATATTACTGTTTATTTTGAGATATTTTTCACTAAAGTTGAAATTAAAAACACGATTAATATACCAACAACCAGTTGCAGATGGTTACCTCATTGTTATCAGTGGTTTTCTGGCTTTACATGAAAGTTAAAAAAATTGTCATTGCTTTTTTTAAACAATGGTTAGTTCACTTGTATTCTACTAAAATTTAACATTAATGTGACTTGTACTATTCTAATTATTGTCAAACAACACTTTCTGGCTTCACATTATTGCAATAATGATTTGAAATTATGTTCATTTTAAACAATGTGACTACAATGAAGGTTCACAATATAAGAAATATCTGATATACTTACAAAATCTTCTTGCTTCCTCATGAAACATATGGAATGGGTCATTACTACTTACTACAATAGAAGAATCCATTCTAAAAATTACTTGCCCGTGGATGCGGTACTCCAGTGGTAGTGTTGAATGCTGGCAGGAGTCTGTACCCTAGTTCCTTGGCCATGTTCAGTAATTCTCCTCTGTACCAATGCATATGGTTTAGCTTGTCTTGAAGATAGGAACTAAAGATGTGACCACTTAAGAGACCTCTGGTAAATAACATGTAACAAAATTCACTCACAATTAGTGTTCAGTTGTACTGTTTCAATTTATTTTGTAATAGAACAAACTAAAGTGAGCTATTTTATAGATGTGAGATACATTTACATGATGTTAAAAACTTGTACGTCTTAGTAGCCAACATCCTGACTTCTTTAATACACAAATGCTACTTCATTTATATAAAAACTTGTACGTATTATTAGCCAACATCTTGACGTCTTTAATATAGAAATGCTACTTCATTTATATAAAAACTTGTACGTATTAGTAGCCAACATCCTGACATCTTTAATACAGAAATGCTACTTCATTTATATAAAAACTTGTATGTATTATTAGCCAACATCCTGACTTCTTTAATACAGAAATGCTACTTCATTTATATAAAAACTTGTACGTATTAGTAGCTAACATCCTGACATCTTTAATACAGAAATGCTACTTCATTTATATAACCTCAACACTTTTTCTGCTGACTTTTGTTTTGAACTTTTACTTGCTGTTTAAACCCACTTTTAAGGAATACCTTTTACTCCTTTCTACATTTCAATGAATGTATAAAAATTAAAGGAAAAGTGTCCACTGAAATTTGTAAAACAAATAACACGAAGGCAGCCTTTAAAATAAACTTGTATAAGGAATAACTTGTTTTGGAAAAACATTTACCATACGATATATATGATTGTATTATAAAGATATTTTTTTACTATGTACATTACACTAAACTAAGATTTCAATATATCATTATCCAAGTATTTAATATAATAATTAAATAAATTAGATGAACATTTTGTATTACCTTTCTCAGTTTTTATTTCTTACCACTTCCATGCACCTATGCAACACTTTCCACTCAGATGACACAAAAATCATGCCATACATTCGATAATAAAGGTATTTTCTTTCATTAAGGAAGGAGAGGAGAAGCTTCCCCCCTATATTTTTGCAAACTTGAGTTTTTTCTCGAGGTTAAAATTGCACTATTTTAGACATAGTTGCAAAAAAATTATTGGGAAATACAACCAACACGTTTATAGACATACTGTGCCTTTACCATTCAAATATCCCATGCCACATCAGTCAAGAAATAAAATCCCCCCAAACAAATGCTGAAAGACCCTGAATAACTGATGATAAAATCCAGTTACATTCAGTTTTTGAAATACAGCCTTAACATACTGTGAATTTAGTAACTCTAACAGCCCCTGAATAATTAATGATAAAATCCAGTTACATTCAGATTTTGAAATACAGCCTTAGCATACTGTGAATTAGTAACTCTACCAGCCCCTGAATAATTGATGATAAAATCCAGTTACATTCAGATTTTGAAATACAGCCTTAGCATACTGTGAATTAGTAACTCTACCAGCCCCTGAATAATTGATGATAAAATCCAGTTACATTCAGATTTTGAAATACAGCTTTAACATAATGTGAATTAGTAGCTCTAACAATTAACCATCATAAATATCCAACTTCTATAATATTATTTCAAATGACATATATATGTACATAAAACATGAAAAAGAAACAAACTGGATAGATAAAGTACAATCAAACTATACATACCCAACCATCCTAATGTTGGTCTCAAACACTGACACAACTAAATCAGAATCAAACTTCACATTTCGGATGACTAGTTTCACAGCATGTTCAAATTCATCCAAGTCCCCTAGCAGCTGTGGGAAAGTATTGAATCTTAGTTACTTACTCAAAGCATGAATATAAAAACTTAGTTAATTATTTATCTTAAAAACAGTTATATGAAGTTTTCACCAGGGATATAACTTGAAAATTGGGACATAAAAGCTTAAATAGAAATGTTTATCTGATTCCTTAACTTACTTCAAAAAATAAAATTTACAAAAATTTTTAAAACAACATATTAACCTATGATAATGATTGCATATTTAAATCAGTTACCCTACTTGTAATAAAACATCTGGTAAGCTTTTTATTGTATTTGTTCTTGCAGTGCAATTCTAACATATATATATATCAAAATCTTTCATCTATTGATTTACAAAGTGGTTAGAGAATATGTAACTCATTAAAACACTTGTTCTTTGGTTCCATGAAAAGTCACATTTCAGCTGGTAAACATAGTTAAAACTACTGTATGAAAAAACTCTAGCCTAAATAGAAGAATTACTATGAATGATATGGTATAGAACTTGGGCTTCTAACTGTATATTCACAGACTTCAAGTCAGATTTTCAGAGACTTCTTTAACAGTACACTTAAACAAACTTCAGATCAGATTATCAGGGTCTTCCTTAATAGTACACTTACACAAACCTCAAGTCAGATTTTCAGAGACTTCTTTAACAGTACACTTACACAAACTTCAGATCAGATTATCAGGGTCTTCCTTAATAGTACACTTACACAAACTTCAGATCAGATTATCAGGGTCTTCTTTAACAGTACACTTACACAAACTTCAGATCAGATTATCAGGGTCTTCTTTAACAGTACACTTACACAAACTTCAGATCAGATTATCAGGGTCTTCTTTAACAATACACTTAAACAAACTTCAGATCAGATTATCAGGGTCTTCTTTAATAGTACACTTACACAAACTTCAGATCAGATTATCAGGATCTTCTTTAACAATACACTTAAACAAACTTCAGATCAGATTATCAGGGTCTTCTTTAACAATACACTTAAACAAACTTCAGATCAGATTATCAGGATCTTCTTTAATAGTACACTTAAACTTCAGATCCAACACTGCCTATCCAACATGCAAAGTAATTTTCATTTTAAGATTAAAAATACTTTTATGCATCAGAAAATGTTCAACTCCTTATAATGTCCAGATATTTATCAAATGTTTTTTTAAGAAAAAACTTTATATTTTATCTGTTATTTTTGCTAACGACTATCTGTATGGGTTTGATTGATTTGATCGATCTCCTAAGCATCATAAAAAAAATTAGGAAATAAATATAAATTATGGCTTTTTCGCTCTAGAATGACTACAAATTATAATACAAAAACATGAATATTTAGACTAAATACCTTAAATCTCATAACATTGTACATTTATATATATTTACTACTTGTATCATATTCACCTTCCAACCATGCCTGGCTAAAAATATAGAAGTTACAATGATGCGGTGCACGTGCAGTCATGTTACCATATCCAATAATATAAAACTGACCTTTAGTCTCTGCAATCTGACCTATTTTAGTTGTATTTTAGCATTTTGTAAAACACAGTCACATTTCCATTATTATATATAATATATATTATTACTATTTACAAATAACTTCTTAAACTTATTTTTCTTAAAAAATAAAACAGCAAATAAAGAAGTAAAGCAAACAATTATCTCTTCTAGTTCCAACCTTTGTACTCGTTTGCTGCTTGCCATAGGTTGCTAAGCCTAATCAAATTTCACACATGAAGGATGTGAGATAAAATAATTTTTTGTAGGTTTTATATATACATTTAAATAACTAAAAAAATAATAAATTACTATATCAATACAATAAAACTCAATTATAATTTATCAATTTTAGCAACTAGGCTGTATTTGGGTCTAATAAAATATGAAATTTGGAGCAGACTAAAGATTTGACTTACCTCTATGCCATCTTGTATTGAAAGAAAGATATGTCTTTATATTTGAAAATGGCTGAGAAAGCCACTAGGGGATATTCTAAGCTTTCGATTGATTGTTCATATGCCATATATAGAAGTAAGTGTATATAAGGAACCATTTCCAAAAATGGAAAGAAGTGAGCCAGGCCACTGCGTTTGATTCAGTAATGAGAGATATCTCAGAAAAAAAAAAAAAAGATAGGAGGTTCTTATTTTATATTCTAGCTTGTCAACATCATTAATTTGAGTTCCTAATTTGTACAAAGCTATAGAATTTGTATTTTGATATCACGAACATCTAATTTGAACCAGTGCTGCATTCGACATACCATGTGACATATAAAAATCAATGTTTAGTTGTTTTTTTTAATATTTACTTTTAAATTAAGAAATTAAATAATGTATAATACTGAAACATGAATTATAATCTACAGTTTGATACCAAACTTAATGAAATAAATACATAAAATAGTAGTTTAATAAAATTTTGAATGCGAGTCAACAAATGTGATGACATGGCCTTTGACCCATGTGGAAAGGGTTAACAGTACACTTACACAAACTTCAGGACAGATTATCAGCAACTTCTTTAACTGTATACTCACACAGACTTCAGATTGTCAGGGACATCTTTAACTATATATATTCACACAGACTTCAGATCAGATTATCAACCAACTTCTTTAACTATATATTGATGTAGACTTCAGCTCAGTTTGTGTGTTTCTTACAGCGAAGCCACATAGGGCTATTTGCTGTGTCCACCAATGGGAATAGTAACCGAGTTTAGTGATGTAAATCCAAAGACTTACCGCTGTCCCACCAGGGGAGGACTTCAGGTCAAATTATCAACCAACTTCTTTACCTGTATATTGATGCAGACTTCAGGTTATATTATCAACCAATTTCTATAACTGTATATTCACACAGACTTCTGATCAGATTATAAGTAACTTCATATTTTCATTCAGAACTAGCTTTGGGTTCTGTTAATACTTAATGTGACATTTTCAAATGAACTACTGTTAGGTTTTCATATATCCTAAAATTGCACATACTCAAACATTTTTAAAATTCAAGCCCATTTCACTCAAAAAACAAGTTGTTAGCCAGTAGATGATTAATCCTTCCTATCCAGACCTGGTTCTTAATTCCAAAACTTAATTAATCAAGTTTATTATCAATAAGTTTAGCATGAAAATGTATTTTATAATTTGCATTCAACAGTTAGTGTTTACAGTAGGGAAAATTTTACTAAAAGCTTGCAATATTTTTTGGACATTCACAAAGTGTATTCATAATTATAGTAAACATTACTAGGTATTGCTTCACATATATAAGGTCAGTCAATTTGACCATACCCATAAACAGAGATCTAATAATTTGGCTGCTTAAAAATCTAATAACTAAAAATGTAAAACTCCATTATTACTGCAAACATTGCTTCCATATTACTTGTAAAATTAATCTCAATTTATGAACAGAGAAAATACTAACTGCTTCAAACTTTGCAAGCTATAGGAAAGATATGCTCTTAAATTTAAGGATGGTTTCTTTTACAAATGAAAAGATTGTAGAGAAATCAGGGTTTTTATTCTGAGTCTTGAGAAAACCTGCTCACAAGAAGAGGAAAGTTTCAAAATAAGGAAAGCAAAAAAATGGAAACTGATATTCAACTACCAGTTTGTTTGTTGTTAAGCAGAAACCTACACAATTGGCTATCTGTGCTATACTCACCACGACTATCAAAACCTAGTCTTTAGTCTTCAGACTTAAGCTGAGCTACTGGAGGCTCTCAACTACCAAATCTAGACTATAAACATAAAACAAAACACATATTCACATAATAAGATTAATTAAAAAAAAAATGTATTCAGATAAAATCTTACCACCAAGGTGTCCAAAGAATCAACAAGTGTCAATGAGAAGCTGAGAAAGAAAAAATTCCATTAGGCTTTGAAAAAGTTCAAACAGCATATTTAATATTTACACCTTCAAGTTTTTCATTAAATTAATGAGTAACATACAGTGTACAAACTACTACAACTTATGGATCAAAACATCGAAGGCAGTAACCAATATTCTTCATAAGTATTCTTTTCCTACTTTCACTTTCTAAGCTTTTTGTCACACGTAATTAGTTTCAACAAAAGTTTAAGCTATTGCAGCCTATATGCAAAGAACTGGAACAAAAATAATCTTAACAAATATCCATACACTGAACTATTTATGAACCAGTTTTAATCTATATACAAGTTAGCAGGCTATCACCACCCACTGCCAACTCTTGGGCTACTCTTTCACCAACGAATAGTGGGATTGACTGTCACATTATAATGCCCCCACGGCTGAAAGGGGGAACATGTTTGGTGTGACAGGGATTTGAACCCGTGACCCGTAAATTGTGAGTCGAGCACCCTAACCAACTGGCCATGCCGGGCCCTTCACTTTGTTACCAGGGAAAAGTTATTAAGTTAGCACAGCAGGGAGCCATCTTACTGTCACAAGGCCCTATATAATTGCATGGGTTCTTTTTTACATAATGCCATCACTAGGTAACAGTATGTGATCATGATCAACAATAGAGAAAGTAGTTCCAAGGGCAGTATGGGACATGGAGCATTGTTCTTATAAAGTGTCATTAACCCTCAACATAATTATCACAAGTTCTTAACACAGATGCAACTATGTTGACCAACAATAAATTAATTAAAAGATTTCATTGACAGGTAAATTTTCCAGGATTTACTGTATTACACTAAACATACTTTCCCAGTGCATCATCAATATCTCCTCGATTAGGTTCTTTGTCTCGGTATCTTCCTTTACAACTTAGGGGCATTAGTTCATCTGCAGGGTATGCATGATTCTGAAAAGAAACAGTTTTTGAAATGAAAAAACACTGTATCAAGAAATCAGTGTACACAACTAACTAAAAAAAAACAATCATAATATGCTTCATTCCTTGGTAATTTAGGGTTTGAGTTAAATACGAAGTAATTCATTCCTTGGTAATTTATGGTTTGAGTTATATATAAAGTAATTCATTCCTTGTTAATTTATGGTTTGAGTTAAATATAAAGTAATTCATTCCTTGTTAATTTATGGTTTGAGTTAAATATGAAGTAATTCATTCTTTGGTAATTTAGGGTTTGAGTTAAATATGAAGTAATTCATTCCTTGGTAATTTATGGTTTGAGTTAAATATGGCATAATTCATTCCTTGGTAATTTAGGGTTTGAGTTAAATATGGAGTAATTCATTCCTTGGTAATTTATGGTTTGAGTTACATATAAAGTAATTCATTCCTTGTTAATTTATGGTTTGAGTTAAATATGAAGTAATTCATTCCTTGTTAATTTATGGTTTGAGTTAAATATGAAGTAATTCATTCTTTGGTAATTTAGGGTTTGAGTTAAATATGAAGTAATTCATTCCTTGTTAATTTATGGTTTGAGTTAAATATGAAGTAATTCATTCCTTGGTAATTTATGGTTTGAGTTATATATAAAGTAATTCATTCCTTGTTAATTTATGGTTTGAGTTAAATATGAAGTAATTCATTCCTTGGTAATTTAGGGTTTGAGTTAAATATGAAGTAATTCATTCCTTGGTAATTTATGGTTTGAGTTAAATATGGCATAATTCATTCCTTGGTAATTTAGGGTTTGAGTTAAATATGGAGTAATTCATTCCTTGGTAATTTATGGTTTGTGTTACATATAAAGTAATTCATTCCTTGGTAAATTAGGGTTTGAGTTAAATATGAAGTAATTCATTCCTTGGTAATTTAGGGTTTGAGTTAAATATGGCATAATTCATTCCTTGGTAATTTAGGGTTTGAGTTAAATATGGCA